CGTTGCGCGAGATTCCAGGTTGTGACGGCTCCTTTGCTGGTGCTGAACCATTGGGTTCGAGTTGCGCGGTGTGGGCTGAAAGCCCTGGGCTTGACGCGTATCCTTCCTTGCGTCTTGTCGGCCGTCCCAAGTGCTTGATGCTTCTGCCGCCGACGGTCCGGACCAGATGCTCCAACCGTACGCGACTCTTCGTCATCCTGGCCTTTCGTCTTCGTACCCGACTGTGACTTCACCTTGTTACGTGCATGAATGCATCATGGTTTCCTTATAACACATTCGTTCCGCAAGTCGGCCGCCACTGTGGCCGTTGATGTTGGTGTGCCGGATCGACTCTTCAAGGCCCTCGGACGGTGGCATAGCGACAAAGCTCGGGAGTTGTACATCACGAAGCTCGATCGCGAGTTGGTGGCGGCCTCGCGTACATTTCAGGATCCGACGCGAACTAGCCCGACCCATCGTTACGTATCTACACTCGCACGCCATCGTCACCTCCCACCGATGTGATGTCTCTCTCTCTCCTATGACAACTGCACTACACACTCCTCGGAGAGTCGTGTCACAATATGTTTTTTATCTGTCTTATAGTTTACTTCAAAAAATGAAGATTGTCATTAGACTAGGAGAGGAGTTTGGTTTTTTTTTTTTTTTTTTTTTTTTTTGATATCAAAATACATTACATGAATGTATGGACATCGGCAGTCGTAACTGTAATGTTGAGGGGAGCGCTACAATAGCTAGTATTGCAGATCCCCTCTAAGGCAGCTACGGTGGCTGATGCGTCAGCCTGGGGTTGTCCCACACAGAGCTGAAGCTGATCTTCCACGTCAGCGGTGCGCCGCTGCTGCAGATACGCCGCATTACCACTGCCTCGTCGGCTGCCAGGTGTGCCCAGTCACCGTCCAAAGCATGCCCCTTCAACCGCGCTGATTCTCTGCGCGCCGCGCAGTATACCCTCGCATGTGCAACAAACTTTACCACCGCCTGCCGAGCCACCCTCCCAACCTGGAAAGCTTCACTTCTCCATATCGCGTTACATCTCGCCAGCCACACTTGATGCAGGAAGGTTGCAATCCATGTCCCTTCCGGAAAGCCCGACCTCGTGCTTCTTTGCATGAAAAGCAGGTCTTCCAGATCCTGCCACGTTAGACCCGGGCACATTGCCTCCAGCCCTCGCCTCATCACATCCGCCACCCCCTGCACCGCAGGGCAGCCAAGAAGGCAGTGATCTGGGGTTTCCTCTCCCCGGCAGTGCGGGCAGACCACCCCCATGAAAAACAGCCTGGAGCCCACTTGCAGATTTCTACAGTGGAGCCGTATGAGAACTTCTCGTGCCCGTCGTGGGGTGGCCAGGGAGTCCCTCTGCTCAATGACCCTGTCCCACTCGATCTCCCTCCTCTGTCCTTCCCATCTCCTTTGCTCCTCCTGTGGCCCAGCCGAGTCTGCCAGCGCCTTCCTTATCCCTAGATTAGCTCTCCTCCTTCACACGCCTCTGATAGCAGTAATTTCGTCCGCACATCTCCCATGGGCCCCAGGAACACGCCTCCTTCCGTGAACATCGGCACCCCACTCCGCAAACTGAAGCACACCGTGAGGTTTCCCTCGTAGGGCGAGAAATGTCCGCCATCCTCCACATCGCATAGTATCCCCTCCACTTTGTCGCCTCTTGCCTCCCCGACTTTCCAGTAGGTGAACTCTCCGGTTGCGTTGTTGCTCGACCGTAGTAGCTTCACCGTGGCCACTACCTCTTCGCTTGACAATTTCGCGAGTACCAACTCCTTCCAGTCCGAGGGTGCTGCGTTGAAGGCTCTCAACGCCCACTTCGCCTTCTCCCTGCAGCCTAACTCCCATGTCAGAGCTGCCAATTTCTTGAGTTCACACGTTCCGTCCCGCGCCTTATCAATCAGGTCCCCCATGCGTACCCCCAGCAGCGCCTCTGCTCCCTTCTGATTCCCAAAGGGGCTCGCGCCTCTGAAGGGGATGCTCGGATTGAACGCCAGATGTTCTTGCTCCACCTCCCAACGGTTTGTTAGAGTCCGCGTTTTGCATAGCGGCGAGTCCCAGAATTTTCCAACTAACTCTTTCCACCGTGCACTCCCTTTTTCCCAGTGGTCCAGCAGTGACTTGTGTGCGAAAATTGTATCCAACCCCAGGGGCATCTCCGCCGCTCTCTCTGCCAGCCACTTCTTGACCGAGCTTGGTTTCAACACCAGCTTGCAGACACATTGGATGGCGATGCTGTCGACCCGCCTTTCGGGACAGATCAACCCCAACCCCCAATCCTTCCGCGGCGTGCAGACCAGCCGATAGTTCCAGAGGATGAATCGCTTCTCTTCCACCGCTTCTCCTTTCGAGACAAAGGTGTGGCACAGCTTGTGGATCTTCTTCCAGATATCCTCCGGTGGTAAGTAAACTTGTGCCTGGAAAAGAAAGATCGGCACGATGTAGCTGTTAATTATCGTTACCCTCGCCGATGTTGTTGGGTGTTGCATCTCCCACTTCGCTAATTCCCCTTTCGCCCTGTCCAATGCTTTGTTCCAGGATGGAGTCGGATCACCATTCGGCGTAATCCAGATTCCCAGAAGACGCTCCGGCCCCTCCTTGTCCGCCCATTTGTAACGCAAGTTCTGCGGCGCTGGCTTCCCCCGGTTCTTCCCCAGCGGGAAGATTACCGTTTTCCCCTCGTTCACCCTCAGTCCCGACACCTCCCCGAAGACCGACAACACTCCTGCCGCTGTCTCCAGCTGCTCCACACCGTGTAGCAAGAGAGAGGTATCGTCAGCATACCCCAAGTATGCCAGTTTCCCCACGCCTTTCTTTCCGATCCCCAACTTTTTCCGGCTGATCTCGTGACATAACGGTTCTACCGCACAGAGGAAGAGGTACGGCGCCAGCGGACAGCCTTGGCGCACGCCCTTCTCCACTGCCACTCTGTCTCCCGTCCATCCGTTAATGTGCAGACATGTCCCCGCATCTTTGTGCAGCCCCACCGTCCAGCCCACGAAGTCCTCCGGTAAATCGCGCGAGATTGAGTCAAAGGCCTTCTGGAAGTCAATCATCATCAGATACCAGTCCTCCTTCCCGTTAGCTCCTGCTTCTATGGCATCTGCTACCACCGATACCGCGTCCGCCAGCTGCCGACCAGGTATGAAGCCATACTGGTCCTCCGAAATGACCTCGTGCAGTACCACCTTGAGTCTGCTCGCCATCACCTTTGCAATAATCTTGTAAACCGTGCTCAGAAGTGTTATCGGCCGATAGTTCCCTAAATCGCCTTTGTCCCCCTTCTTATGCAACAGAATGGTCACCGCTGTCGAGACGTTGTGCGGCAACTCCTCCCCCTCCGTGAATCTCTTCACCAGGTCCATCAGTATCGGCCCCAGTAGGTCCCAGTTGTGGTCGAAAAGCTCCTTAGGCAAGCCGTCTGCGCCTGGCGATTTTCTTGGAGCAAGCTCCCTCACCGCCTTTCGCACCTCGGCCTCCGACCATGGTGCACTTAGCGCCTTCCTGCTCTCGTCTCCCAGTTTCCGTTGCATGGGATGGACCACTCTGCCAGGTATCACTCCTCCGCCGGTACAACCGAAAGCTTCTCGGAAGTGATCCGTCGCCGCCGAGAGAACCTCTTTCACCCCCGTGAAAATGCTCCCGTTCCTCGATACTTCTCGGATTGCCGTCTTCGCCTTACGGGTTTTGATCTGTGCTGACAGTGTTCCCGACGCCACCTCCCCGTCCATTTCCGCCTCAATACCCGCCCATGTTTGCAGTTGCTCCTTATGGCTTTTCTCGTATGCCTCCAACAGCTCCTCCTTCCGGAGCAGGATACGTCCCGTCCTTTGGCAGTGTGGGAAGCGTGACACACGCGACCTGAGCCGCTCAACCTCCTTAGCAAGATGATGCTTTGTCGCTTTCTCCCGCTTCCTCTCTTCCCTCGAGTACGCCTTCAGGCACGCAGTCAGCCTCTCCAGCAGTCTATCAACCGGTACGCCTGCCGACTCCTCAATGATCTTTTTTATATTTTTTCTGACGCCATTTTTCCTTGTTTGCTCCGCCCTTAACCTCCAGATGCCCGGCCCGTTCTTCACAGCTTCCGCGGATTCCAGCACCACTCCTATTCCGTTCCAGTGATCTGACATTCCGTTTGTAATCGCCACGTGCCTCGCCTCCGCCAGCTTGCACAGCAGCGGCTGCGAAATCAGCGCCCTGTCTATCCTTGAGCTGGATCTTGTTGCCTTCGCGAAGAAAGTATACTCCCTTTTATCCGGGTGCATGTGTCTGAATGCATCTCTCAGGCCCGTACTCCCCCAGCAGCTCAGGAGCCGTTGATTTTCTGTAGAGGAGCCGGCCTGCGAGGTGCGATCCAGGTCCGGATCTTCGACCACATTAAGGTCCCCCATCACCAGAATATTCTGGAGCACCGGCAGAGACTCCAAGAACGGCTTCAGGCTGTCCCTGTAGAAGCTGGACCTGTTAACTGCTTGTGCCGGGATGTACGCTGCTACCAGCAGGAACTCCAGGCTGCCCCAGCCGATTACCACAGCCAGGAGTCTGCCGGATATGTGTGTGAAGGTGCTCGCGAAAACCAATCCAGGTACGAAGCTCACTATAGCAACTCCCCCCGCCGACTCATCAGGGTTGTGTCCGCACACTGCCATCGCACTTGGAGCTATTTCTGTCCAAAAGTTGTGATCTGCCTGCAATCTGGTATCTGTGATTATCGCCACATCTGACTTCTCCTTCATCCATTCACTGCACTTCTTTTGTTTCCCTACACTCCCGAGCCCGTTGATGTTGAACTCGCAGAAAACGACCGTGTGGGCCTTATCCATTAATCAACAACTGGAAAGCCCCCTCGCATCCACGGGCTGTAAGAAAAAGCACTGCTACCAGATCAGGTGAGCCGCTGAAACCAGCCACCTCTCTTATTCTACTGCTGATGCCTACGTTAACCCATCCTTCTGAAACACTCTTCACATGCTGCCTTGTGGTGGACTCAACGTCACGTGCTACTTCGCCGGCTTTGCAGTGTACTCCTTCTTGAAGGCTAGCATTTTCTGGGAGAACTTGCTGGCGCGTGTGGCCGAACCCTCCTTCCGCAAACCCCCCTTGTGCCGAGCAGATGCAATATGAGCCGATGCCTGCTCGAAGTGGTTCCCCTGCGCCTTCTCGCACACTGTCTGGACACAGACCCATTCCTCCCGCGCGCTTCCGGTGGAGGTGAGAATAACCGCAGGGTCTCGCATGATACGCTTCAAGAGATCTGAAGCTTTCAGGGACGCAGCTGCGGGGGGAGAGGAGCAGACAATCGTCAGTAAGAGGTACGGAGTAAAAAGCGAGCAGGAAAGCGGGCGCCGGAGGCAGGTAGGACGTCTCTTTGCTTGTACCATTCATCTCGTGAACCTTTTTAACAGTCAGGTTCCAGTTGTTGAATTTTTCTTGTCTCGGGGCGACGTAATGGTCATGATAACGTGTCATGTGCTGACCGCCGCAGAAGTCACAGGTCAGCGACGGGTAGTGGAGCAAGTAGCGCTTCCCCGTGGTAGGGTCTTCCACGAAGTGACGCCAGCGGTACTCGTCATCAGCATGAGGGATAAACAGTCCACGGATGCGGTCCGTGTCCAAGCCTGACACCGGATCCACTGTCCGATGGAATCCGAAACCACTGGCAAACGCGCTCCTGCCGCGCTTCACCAGCTTCGACACCTCCAACAGACGGCGAATCAGTTCCGCCGTTATTTCCGCCGGTACGCCTTTGATTATGATCTCCTTCGCCGTGGGGTTCAGCACGCGCTCACGCAGGAAACGCGCATCCTCCGGGTGCTGCCAGGTGAGATCAATGAAGTCGCCGTTGACACACTCGTGACGTATAACCTGGCTCCAAACGAAGTTCGCGTCACGAACGTGATTGAATGTAACTTGCAGGCGGCCGTAACGTTCTCCAGAAAGAAACATCGGTGGGAGATCTTGGTAAGTTGTGGTCAGCAGCACATCCGTCGTTAATAACTCCTTCCATTCGTCCAGCATGGCAGCAACCGTTAAGGCTGCACGCTTAACCTCCACCTTCCTGGAAATCGGCACCAACAAGGTTAGTGAGAAGCGCTTCAGAGCAATGATGCTATTAAGAGAGTCCGGCTCCAGATGTTCATCCGAGTCATCACTCAGGTAACCGTCGTCGTCGTCGTCAACAGGAGACTCCGCTGGCTGCGCGTCGTCCTCAGCAGTGTCTTTAGCATCGGTCTCCTCGCGCGCATCACCATCAGCGAGTTCCTCCTCCTCGTCAGCATTCTCTCGGCTTGCATCAGCATCTTGACCAGCATTCTCCGGCAGCTCCGGAAAAGCTTCAAAAGGTCCGGCCATAGTCGCTGGAGCGGGGCTTGAGGGAGGCTTCCCTTTAGCAGCAGGTTCCTTCGCAGGTACGTCAGGTACGTCCTTCTCCTGAGCCTTGTCAGCGTTTTTCTTGCCTTTGCTGCCGTTGCGTCCTTTCCCCATGGTGCGATGATGATACAGACTTGGCAGCCTGACTGTGGCTGATGAACAAGCTTTTCTGAGCACATTCATCTCGCCGCGTTTATATCTCTTGTGTTTGAACGCAAATCTCTGCAGGTCCAATCCATGCGAATACACTGATGTCTTGGCGTAACTCTCCATGCCTTGATAACTGCTTCCTTTGTTGAAACTTGAATCTTGGGAAATGCGTGCATTGGTTCTGTCGCGAGGTGAAGATAAAGTTGATGACGCAGCAAACAGATGGCCTCGTTGGATTCCATGGAGTAGCCTTGAAACTTGCTCTTGCCCTTGTGAAAACGTCTGTAGTTGACTTGATGATAAGATAAGCCTTGACGATAGCCTGGAACTCACAAAACAGGTGTATAGGTTCCCTTTATGAACACTAAAAAGGCACCGTTGTGTAGAGCTTGAAGCCGCGCATCGTCTGAGACCTTCAATGTCAAGATCAGGCGTGAAATTGATGGACATTGGTTGAGTAGGAGAGGAGTTTGGTGTAGATTGTGTAAAGATTATGTGAAGATTGTAAACCCTTCAATTTTTCACATTTGACGGCCGGCATTTGTCCTGAAGTAAACAGCTCTTCGCATACAACCGATTTTTGGGGCCTTCGTCGCCGGCAGTGTGTTCACAGTGCTAAATTCCATGTCGACCCACATCGGGGAATGTCGAGTCGGGAACCACTTGGAACACGCTTTACTTCTTATTCCAGCCTATTTCCTTCCCACAGTATAATTTTTTGGTCGTTTTTCATGCTCCTTCTAACACTCCCTTCACTCCTCCACTCCTGGTTGAGTCATGAAATAGTACTCCTCCCGTCCCGAGCAATGGTGCTGGCGACTGGGTTGTGGCGGCCTTACTACAACTACAGGCCCTGTAGATTACCACGACCCACAAGGGTAACAGTCGTCGAGCTGGACACGTGACTCATAGTACTATTATTATTGTTAATCGGCTTCGCACGTCATGACGCTACGGCAGATCATCAGGTGAGAAAGTAGTTGTTACTAACACGTTTGCAACTTTGAAATTATGTTTCAGCAGCATATTGCGAGGGCCAAACATTGTTCGGATGCGCAATATCGCGGATGGTCTGGTCCATCGTGCATAAATCCAACTGTTTTTTTCTCGTACGGTCTTCTCATTTTCTTCCCACCTCTCCTCGCCAACCGCCATGGCTGCCCGCCCGTTCCGCGCATCCTCCGTATCCCGCGCGTGGCGGTGCGGCAGGCGCAAGAGGCGACGGGGCCGGGCATCCCGCACCCCTTCGACTTCGAGTTTCCGGACCACCTGTGCGGGTCGCTGCGAGAGACGTACATGACCATCCACGACCGCGTCCGCGCCGCTTGCAACGCGCAAGCCGCCGCCGCCGCCGCCGCCGCCGCCGGAGCAGCAGCAGGCGCGACCCTCTCCGCCACTGCTGCTGGTCCTTCCGATCCGTCCGCTGCTGCTCCGCCTGCCGCTGCTCCGCCTTCCGCCTCCCCCGCCAACCTGCCCTCCGCCGTACCCCAGTCGTCCACCCCCTCTCGCTGTCGCACGCTAATCTTCGACTCGGGGCACGACGGGTTCGGCGACACGGTGTTCGGAGTCGCGTCGACGTTCGTCGCAGCGCTCTTAGACGATCGCGCGTTCCTCATGCGCCAAGAGTGGTTACAGTTCGCCTTCGAGCCCGCGACCTTCGACTGGCGCGACACGCGCGATATCCCCCTGACGGAACCGTCGCCGCAAATTATGGACGAGAATACCCCCCCAGATGCGCCGTACGCGCGACTGAGCCTGTACAACAGGAACGTTACGGATCCCGAGGCGCTGTTCGGGAAGCTGAGTGGGATAGCGCACATCGGGCTGGTGTGGAACCGTGGGATTCTGTTCAATCTGCTGACCAAGGGAAAAGGCGCGTGGGCGGATAAGTTCACAAGCATCGGCGTGACCCCTCCGTACGCCTTCGCCTGCGCCATACGCTTCCTGCTCCGGTGGGTTGTTAGCTCTTGTGTTCTTGACGGGTTGGCGTTGTGGAGAGCGGGAAGGTTAAAAGAAAAGCGGTTGAAGATTCTCGGGTTCCAGCACAGGACTCTAAAACCCAGCTGCGGATTTTGGGAAACCAACGAAGGATTCTGAGAAAGAACAGCTGAGGATCCAAAAAAAGCAATCGAGCTTCGTTTGATAGCGAGCAGGAGTGTGAAAGTAACAGGTAGGCTGGCTCTGTCTGTCTGTCCTCTCGCCTCCTCTTTTCACCTCCCATAACATTCCCCTCTCCCCCCCGGTATCTCTCGCCCTGTTTCCCTTCCCTACCTTTCCCATCCCTCGGTTTCCTCCTCTCTTTCTCCCCAATTACCTCCAATCTCCTCCAACCCTCCGGTTCCCAGACCTAAGCCGGAGGTATGGCAGCTGATGAGGGGCATAAGCCAGCAGGTGCACGTACCAAACAGCATCAGCATTGGCATCCACATCCGTGTGCGAGACGGCATAGCCTGGGAGGATGTGTGGCATGATGGCGTTCCCAAGGTGCTCAACGGGACTGTAGTCGAGGAACTCTATAACGAGAACAAGCAGGCGTTTGAGTGCGCACAGGTGAGGAGGGAATGGGGTTATGAGAGGAGGGAAGAGGGAGGGGATGACGAAGGGGAGAAGGAGGATTTAGAAGGAGAAAGCAGTGAGGGCATGGGACTTTTGAGAAGTAATTCTTCCCAGGCTTCCTTCCGTATGCTGTATGCTATGCCGTGTGCTGTATGCCATGTCATGTGCTCTATGCCATGTCATGTGCCGCATGCCATGCCATGTGCTGTATGCCATGTCATGCCTGCTCCCTCCTCCCTCCTCCCTGCGCCCTGTGCCGTGCGCCGTGCGGGCAGCAGGAGTTGGAGCAGTGGTGGGTGCCGGCGTCCTTGAATGTCACCTGGTTTCTCATCTGCAACTCCGCCCACCTCAAAGCAGCAGTGCGCGACAGATTCCCCAACAAGGTACCTCAGCTTGAAGCAGCCTTGTAGGAAGGTGATTTGCAGCACAAGGTACTCTGCCTAAGGCGCCCGCCTTCCCCCACGCTACCTCCTGGCATAGGGGTCTCCCCTACGCTTCACTCAACGTATCATCTCGCATCTCCACCGCTCTCCCCCCACCCACCCCCCCCACCTCCCTTCCCCCCCTCCCAACTTCCCTCCCTCCCCCCCTCCCTCCCCCCCTCCCTCGCCCCCTCTCTCCCACCGTCTTGACTCCCAATTCAACCCCCTTGTGTCCCCTCCAGATCGTGACCACCGAGTTTATCCCCCGCCACGTGGCCATCAGCAAGGAACCCAACTCCACTGCACATACTGCCCCCCCTGCATGGTACCAGGAGACAGTCGCTGAATGGCTGCTCCTCGCCTCCACCCACCTCCTCATTATCCCAGCGGAGTCAGGCTTTTCCCGCTCTGCTGTCATGTATTCCATGCGTCCGGGGGGGGTGTACATGCCACACAAGTGCCGCCCTGATGCTCCTGTTCCTGTCGGGGACCTAGCGGTGGTTGGGTGCGGGGTGTGAGTGACATGTTCACGTTGTGGTTTTGTACATAGTGATATGGCTATGGTATGGTGTATGTATGCAGGGCATGAAATGAAATGCATTCATTGGCTCTTCTGTGTTACGTACCCCAATATCTTGTGCTCTGCTACAGACATACGGTACACCCGTAATTCACATAAAGGATGACCCAAACATGGACAGCAGCACTTATTGAAATCGTGATGCACATACCATAATCAAATGTGTCTAGACATACTTCAACACCACGCAGTCACTACCGCCAGTCCCACATGTAACGATAATCCACTTCTGAGACATCTCATTACAGAACAGTCACCAGTCACCCATATTAATCGCAACAAACCCGTTGCGCAGCCGCCCGTTGGTCGCCCGCAATTCATTAATCAACCTGCTCCAATTCGACCCGAGCGCGCCCACAAAGTAGTCGCACTGCGATGCAATGATTGCGCTGGCGAAGCTCGCTGCGACTGATTGTGAGAACTCGTAATCGCGGTTGGACTTGGCATCTATGGGCTGGCGAGAGTTGGATGAGTAGAGGAACTTCCAGTCGGCGTAACTGGCAGATTCTTTTATTACAGACTGCCAGGTGGGTGGGACAAAGGTGGGAGGGAGGTAAGGTAGGGGTAAGGGTGGTTAGGAAGGTGGGAGGAGGGTGTAAAGAATGGTAGGGGAAAGGTGGGAGTGAATGCAGAAAAAAAGAGATGAAGAGGTGGGCAAACGTGTATTTCTAGACCACACTTACTGATCAAAGCACGCTCTACGGCTATACTGACCACCCTTGCTTTGCTTCAGGCACGCCTCAGAAACACATGAATCTCATCCATCAATCTCCATCCCTGCCTGCCAGCTCACCTCCATCTCGGTGTTAAGCCACACGTATCGCAGGTCCGGCACGTGGCGGCGAAGCCTATGAGCAAAGAACATGTGTGAGGCGAAGGAGGACAGCTTCATCTCGATCGCCTTGTCGCTCTGCCGCACATGCACACTCACAATCGGCCGCATCATAAACGGCTCGCCTCCTCCCACCGCCACGTACGTATCCCGCATCGCCTTCACATCCCCTGCACTCATGCACGTTGCGTTGCACCCCTCGAACCCCCGGATCGCCCACACTTGCGTCTCCAGATTCCCCGGCGCAGCAAAGGTCAGTCCTAGGAGCTGCTTCGCCTCAGGAGAGTCCGTGACGTTTTGCACGGCGGTGGTGATGTTGCTGCTGCTGGTGACGAGGGCTCGCACGATCTCGGCTTGCGTTTCGGAGAAGCGCGCGAGGTGGGAGGCGGTGTGGAGGCCGTAGGCGGTGTGGCGCTCCTTGTTGGTGGCGTGGCACATGTGCGGAGAGGGCCAGCGCATCATGAAACGCACTGACTGGGATCGCCACCAGTGCAGCTGTGGGAGGGAGAAACGGGGGGGGGTGGGGTGGGAAGGGAAGAAATTAGGGGGAGGAGAAAGGGGAAGGGCCAGCCGATTATGAAGCGTATGGGCTGGGTTTGGCAGCAGAGCAGCTGGGGGAGGGGCGGGTGAAGGGGGGAGGAGGGGGAGGGGGAGGGGGAGAGGAAGAGGGAGGGGAGAGAGAAAAGAAGAGGGAGGGGATGAGGTAATCGGGGAGAGGATGAGAGAGGACACGCACAGCATAAAGCCTATGGGGAAAGGGGAGAGGGAGAGGGAGGGGAGGGGGAGTGGGAGGAGGCGCAGCAGGAGGTTAGGTGGAAAAGGTGGTGTGGGTATGTGCCATGTGCATGATTCGTGGACCCTGCAAGTTATTAGAGTACCATCAGGACTGATTCGCCCACATACAAACACGCTCACACATACACGCTCACGCATGCACGCAACCACAGCACAGCATCCAGTACTTGCCGCCGTGTGTGTTCCAGCTGCATACAGCTTGAACAAGCTTCCTCACACGTGCGCACACACGCGCTCATACGTGGGCAGTGGACACACGATGGCACACACAAGCGCACCATCTGGTATTTGTCGTCGGTGCGCGGGAGTTGCCCCATGAACTCGATCACGTCTGGGGTCGCTGCATACGCCTGGCCCCACCGCCTGGAGCCGAGGGGAGGGGCGCATATAGGGTAGGGAATGACGAGGGGGATGAGATGGAGCAGGGAAGGAAACGCAAGGAGAGCTCCATACATGTGTATGGAATGGAAGAGGCCACAAATGAGTTCCATAAACTCCGCAACCACACGTGAGGTCGCTCTGTATGCCTGGCCCCACCGCCAGGAACCGAGGGGAGGGGCGCACATTGGGGAACAGAGAGAGGAAGAGGGGGAGCAGGCAGAGAGCAACAAGGAGAGCTGCTAGATCACGTGCCCAGAGAGCGTGCATACACTGGTTGTGTCGACTAAGAAACGTTCCCCTTTTCCCCCTCCCCCTTCCCACTCACTTGGCGGCGCGGCTGTCATAGCCCATCTGCTTGTCCACATTGGCGTTGAGGTGAACCACCAGGTGAGCGGAAGCAGAGAGGCGGTCGTGGCCATGGTCATCGTTGGACACGGCGGGGAGGGTGCCGTTCGCTACCATGTCCGCCACCACTCGCTCGCAGTCAGGGTTCACCATGGGGAAGAAGAAGCAGTCCCACGAGAGGGATGTGGCGTTGGTGGCTGGGGTAAGGGGTGGGCAAGAGGGGGCGAGAGGAAAGGGGTGGATAGAAAATGTGCAAGGGAGTGTGAAAGAGGTGTAAGTATGGTGAAAGGAAGGAGCCCTACTGAGTCAGAATCGGGGTTCACCATGGGGAAGAAGAAGCAGCCCCAGGAGAGGGAGGTCGCGTTGGTGGCTGAGGAGAGTGAGGGGGGAGAGAGGGGAGGGGGGGAGGTGGAGAAGGGGAACTGCTCCACTCGCTTGCAGTCAGGGTTCACCACGAAACGGGGAACGGGGGGAGAGCGGGGGATGCAGGTGGTGGTGGTGTGGTGTGGGTGGAGTAGGGAGGTGGGTACGTGAGTGGTGGGAGGGGCGGGGGGAACAGGGCTACACTCAAACACACACTATAGGGAGGGAGATCCCAGGTGCATGAAACAGCACCTGGCAAAGCAGCACCCTAGGTTCGTGGTTCTGGTAATGAAACGAGTGATGCCAGCTCCTTGGTTGGCCCTTAAGCTTTGCCCATCCTCCCTTACCCACTGCCCATCCTCCCTTACCCACTGCCCATGCACTCCTGCCTATTGCCTAACTAGTAACCACCGTGGGCTATGGGCGAGGAAGATGCGCACCATTGCAGGCAGCGGTGGTGGCGCGGTCGTAGGAGGCGGGCAGGGGCACGAGGGTGCGGTTGTGGTGCATGGCCATGCTCAGGAACGCGCTCATCACATGCACCTGGTGCCGTGGCGGGGGGTGCAGGGGTGGGCGGGAGGGACGGAGGGGTAGAGGGATGGAGGGTGGGAGGGTGGTGGGAGAGTGGTGGGTGATGGGTGGGCAGGCGGACGAAGGAGGTGGGACAGGTAGGCAGACGAGCAAGCAGGCAGGCAGACGAACCGGCAGGCACATAAGCACGCAGGCCCCGACCCCCGCTTTCCCCCCCCTCTTCCCCCTTCTTTCCCCCCACCTTCTCATTCCCCCCAGCGTTCACCTGTGAGCCAACGCCGTGCAGGCGGCCCAGGGACCAGGGCACGACGAGCAGGCGCCTGCCATCGCAGGTGCCGTGGAACATCTGGTACTCCCACAGGTCCCTCTGCGCCACGCGCGTCAACGGCAGGTTGTCCGCGTCCGACCCGCGCACCTGGAAGGTGGCGGAAGGAGGCGAGGGGCGGGGAAGGGAGGTGTGCGGGGAGGTGGGGAGGGATGCGGGAAGAGACGTGAGGAGAGACGCGGGGAGGGACATGGGGAGAGACGACGGGAATATCAACGGCTGCGAGACGGAGAAACGGAGATACACGAGTAAAGATTCGGATAGGTGCCATGGATGGCACATACCCACGGTGGTTGCGTTGCGGGTTTGGCACCAGCAGCAGTTAAGAAGGTGGATTTGTGAGAAAATTCAGAACTCATACCCACGGGGGTTGCGGGTTGCATCCGCAGCAGTTGGACGGCCGAGCCCACACGGGCGGCTCCCCGTTCGCTCCGCGCTGCTCCGCCGCCTTTCTCGCCGCCGTCAGCGCCGCGCAGTCCTCCAGATGTGGCGCGGGAGGCACGCTCGCGGGCAAGGTGACTTTTTCGGGCGGCATTTCGATGTCGGGTTTTAGACCGTATGCTTCCTCCCATGCCTGATAGCATCGACGCGGGGAGGGGGGTGACGAGATGAAACGGCGTCAAGGTCGGGGGGCTTAACCGTCTCGATAAAACGTCTCCCTGCGTGCAGGCACGCGGCTTATGCGTCGACTACAACATCTCCTATACGTGCAGGCAGGCGCAAGCCAGAGTTCACTTGGAAACGAGACACGGCTCGCTCGATGCCTGCTAGATTGAAGAAACTTCTCATGGCATTCTAGAAGGAGCAACTCACTCGGAAAAGAGACATGGATCGCTCGATACCCGCCTCGCCGCCGATCTGCCCGCCTGGCGTGTTGGGCATCTGCGCCGTGACCGACGGCGGCGATGCGCAGAGCAAGCTCAGGAGCGCGAAGGCGATTACGAGAGACATGGTGTTGCCAAAATGAAAGAATGATTTGATCGAAAATGAATGATCAGGTAAATTTGAGTATCACATCGGACGGGAGACAGGGGAAGGTGAGGAGACGTCCGTAAAGGGCGGAGAGAGGTGCTGGTGGTGTGTGATGATTGGGGAAGTGGTGTTGGTGATGGGGATGGTGATGGTGTAGCTGTACGCGATTGAAGGCGAGTGAATATATGGACTGAGTAGGAAAAGCGTTGTGGGATGTCTAAACATTGCTGCTGCCCATATTAGAGTTTATGGGCTTTTACAGAAGCAGAAAAGAAGGCCACACTGCTGGTTACCGCATTACACATTGTCATATGTCACGAACGTCGTACGGAGCTCCCGCACACTCGATTCCTCATCTCAGCCGTAGGATTCAACAAGCCACTGCAACCACACC